ATATGTGGGTTCAGGACTCTAGAGATTTGGAAGATGTACCAGTATATGGGGAAGTGGCTGAAGCCATGGGCCAGGGACAGAATCCAAGAGAACAATATTGTACAAAGAGGTAGAATAAGAAATCTACGTGGAAGCTGAGAAAGAACACCACAAGCAGGAAGGAAAGCAGCCAAGTGATATAAGAGAAATTCTTACTCCTCTTGTTTTCTAGGTAAATCTAACCACTCACTGATCCCTATTTACGTATGGCTTAAGTATTGCCATCTCTTTTTCTTTGCTCATACTATTCCTTCTCCCTATCATGCATTTCCTCCTTCCTCAGGGCTGTTCATATAAAAATCCTGCCTACCTTTAAGGCCCAGCTCAACGACTTCTTCCATAAAGCTTTCTTTCATTACACTTCTTCTGCACAAATGAAATTAACTATTTCTTCTTTTGAAATCCTAGGGTATTCTATACCATTCTTAGGGTACTTGCCACTTTCTATGTTGAATTATAGTTATTTACATGCCAAACTCCCAATTAAGCTACTACAATAGCTGTCCCTGCACATTCCATATTGGATTAATCTCTGAATTCCAGTGTCTAGCAGTTCTGTAACTTTTATAGGGCCCTATATAAATATTTGTTGAAAGAACAAATAAATATGTATTCACCTTCACCCAATCTATCACCTTTACAATGGATTAAAGGCAACTGGCATCCTTGCTGCCAAGAACCAAATACTATGTCACCCATAAGAGCTAGGCTGAGTTACACAAGGAGTTTGTATGTAACTTGGAGAGCAATTGTGGCAGAAAAAAGGGTAGCAAAAAGATTTCATCAGCCTTTAACTCAGTCATTTACTTATTGCTATTAAAAATTAACCATTGGTTAACTCAAAATAACTTAAATGCCTAAATGTAAAAACTAAAACTATAAAACTCATAGAAGAAAACATAGGACAAGCTTCATGATACTGAATTTGGCAATGGTTTTTTGGATATGACACCCAAAGCACAGGCAACAAAAGACAAAATGGACAAATTGGACTTTATCAAAATTTAAAACTTTTGTGCATCAAAGGACAATATCAAGAAAGTGAAAGGCAATCCACAGAATTGGGAGAATATCTGCAAATCATATATCTGATAAGGGATTAATATCCAGAACATGTAAGAACTCCTGCAACTCAACAACAACAATCCAATTAAAAAAACGGAACAAAGACTTGAACAGACATTTCTCCAAAGAAGATAAGACAGAAGGCCAAAAAGCACATAAAAAGATGCTGAACATCACTAACAACTGGGGAAATGTAAAGCAAGAGCACAATGAGATACTACTGTATACATACTAGGATGGCTATTATCAAAACACCCCCAGAAAATAGTAAATATTGGCAAGGATATGGTTCCTACCATTGCCAGTGGGAATGTAAAGTGCTACAGCTGCTGTGGAAAACAGTACTGTGGCTCTTCAAAAAATTAAACATAGAATTACCATAAGAATCAGCAATTCCACTTCTGGATATGTATCCAGAAGAACTGAAAGCAGGGACCTGAACAGATATTTGTACACAGATGTTCAGAGCAGCATTACTCACAATAGCTAAGAGGTGGAAACAACCCGAATGTCACTGGACAGATGAATGGACAAACAAAATGCAGTCTATAAATACAATGGAGTATTTTTCAGCCTTAAAGAGAAATGAAATTCTGATACATGGTACAGCATAGATAAATCTTGGAGATATCAGCTAACTGAAATAAGCCAGACACAAAAGAAAAATTATAGTATGATCTCACTTATATATCTATAATAGTCAAATTCATGGAGACAAGAAAATAGAACAGTAGTTACCAGGGGCTGGAAGTATGGGGAATGCGGAGTTATTGTTTAATGGGTACAGAGTTTCAGTTTGAGATGAAAAAGAAAAGTTCTGGGGATGGACAGTGGTGATGGTTACATAACAATGTGAATGTACTTAATGCCACTGGTTTAATGGTAAATTTCATGTTATGTGTATTTTACCACAATTTTTAAAAAGTTAAAAAAAAAAATCAACCTTTGGAAGTAGACTGAATTACTTTTTTTTCAGATTTGCTTTATTTTTGTCAACATATTATATGTCACATATTATATGCCAATATATTCAGCCCTTTTATTCTACATTTTATTTAACATTTTCTTGTTACACAGTTGGTAAAAAGAAGAGCATGGCTAATTTCATTCTCATAATCAAATGGTGGTTTCATCTGACCCATTAATATGTCAACATATTATATGTCACATATTATATGCCAATATATTCAGCCCTTTTATTCTACATTTTAACATTTTCTTGTTACACAGTTGGTAAAAAGAAGAGCATGGCTAATTTCATTCTTCTCATAATCAAATGGTGGTTTCATCTGACCCATTAATATGGGTCTCTTAATAATATTAATTTCTTATTAATAGATACAAAGATAGCCCTTCTCTTGTAACTAGTAAAAAGATCTCCAAACTTCATACTTATTGCTTGGAAATCATTACGTATGAAATTACCTTACTATGTCTGGTGTCACTCCCTGTCTCTTCCAGTCTCCAAATCGGCTGTATATAAAACAGGCTGCTACTTGCATGCCTTGTCTTGCCCAGCTCCAGAAACAACAGAAACCCAACTGTTACTATTAGACAAATCTCTTCCCACTAAGAAGTGGGTTTGAGAATTGTTCTTCACAAACATGACCTTTTTTCTGTTGAAAGTATTTTACCTCTTAACTTTGGTTTGCATGTTTTCAGAATATTTCTTCTTTCTGAAATGTTACTCAGGATTTTTTGAGTTTTTAAGATTCTCTTATTATAGATATTTGAATTGTGAAACATTGGTCCTAGGACAAACCAGTTTTAGAATTCAATATCTGACTGTATAACTCATCACCTCCAGTGTTTATTATTTTTTCTCTTTTCACCATCAGAAGAGTGTCTCTTTCTCTGCATTTGGTTAAATGTACAGCTGTTCCCAAAAGAGCTACCTAATTTGTTCACACTTTCTGAATTCACATGTAATCTTCTAATCAGTATCTTAAGACACTTTTGACCCTTCTTTAATTTTTCCCTGATTTTATATGATGAGGATGTCGCTCTTGATAGCAGCATGCACACTATAATCTCAAAACATATTTTTGAGTCAATGAATTTAAAGCATAATTTGATTTTATAGTTGGTGAATGTGGCTCAATTAACTACACCAGGTGTATAGTTAGTTGATCTTGGGCTATATTTATAAGCTTGTTGAAATTCAAGTAAGGAAAGAGAAAACTGATTTGCTACCTCCTATGTTTTAGCAAGTAGTCTTACTGGATTACTATCTAACAATGTGTAAACTTTTGAAATGGTACCAATAAGTGCCTATGTATACTTCAAACTCTGTACTACAGTGGAGTGGCTAGGTACTTTTCAGTTTCTTATCTGAAATCATCACTTTAGCCAGAATGTTTGTGCAAGCACTTGTGGCCAGGTTTTTGTGGTCAGTTTTTCTCAATTAGGGTTTGTCTAGAAAATTATGCCTTAATGCCCTAAGACATCCATTGTATATAATGATATATACTATATATAAATGATATAATGTATATAACCCTACATTAGAAATATGTATCTAAAATGGTACACATGCCTTAATGCCCTAAGACATCCATTGTATATAATGATATATACTATATATAAATGATATAACGTATATAACCCTACATTAGAAATATGTATCTAAAATGGTACACGTTATATACCATCCTTAGGAAAATTCAGAAAATAGTCACTTGAATAGTTTTGTGAATTCTATGGTTCAAATAAGGAACCTCAGTTGAAAAAGCCTGGATGGTGGTACCGCTGTGGTTATAAATTTATTCTTCATGAGTCAACGAAGAAGGAGAGAGGCTATCCTACCGTGAGAGTCCATGACATGACAGAGACAGGGCTAGTCTTTATACATATGCTATCTAATGAATACTAGTAACTATTCTTTAAGATAGGTATTACCCTCAAGTTAGAGATAAGAAAAATGAAGCCAAGATAATTGAGTAACTTGGTGGAACCAGGTTGAGTAACTTGGTAGAACCAGAATTTGAATCCAGTTTTGCTTCTGGAGCCTAGTTAGTTGTACCTCTTTTCGCCATGCTACACTGCTACCACTGGCACTTCTGGCCTTAGCTGCTTCAAAAAAGTTGTAGGTACTAAAGAATTTTAAGCAGATAAGTTAGGCAAAAGGATTCCTTTGCACTTTATAGATATGATTCTGATTATGATGTGGAGAATGCTTAGAAGAGAGACATCCTACTATAAGACCAGCTAATGAGGCTACTGCAATGGTCTTGAGCAAAGAAAGTAGCAGTAAGATGGGAGAGAGAAGAATGGCTGAAGAGACATCTAGGCAGTGACTGACTGGATGTGAGGTGGCCAAGAGGGTGAGGAAAAGGAAAAAAGGAAATTATAAATTACATCAAATTGACCATCACTCCTTGATTGACTCAGAAATATATATCTTGCTGATGGTAGGTCAGTGACATTATGTTCATATATGAAAGGCAGAATATTTACTTTGTTATATATCAACTCTATTTTTAGGAAAAAGTTGAAAACGAAAGTAATAAAAGAGTTTCATTTGCCAGGAGGTGAAGTTTAAGAACAAGAGAAGTGTAAAGATGCACCTCTTCCTTGGCTGCCTTCAACTTGATTAGCTATGGTTCCTGTAGCGGTTGGGCTGTCTTTCCTGAATTATTATGTTTTTCTCCTTGATGCCTGTTTCTGGTGGTCATGTGTCCCACCATACCCCAGGGAGCCTCTGCCTTAGGTTCTAGTTGGTGCCCTTTACAGTCTGGCCTACTCCCCTCTATTACCTTGGTCATTTTTTAAATTACTGTTCATAAGGCTACAAGTAGATAAGTAGTTGGGATTATAAACTAAAGATAGTATGTATCAATAATTTCAAGGATTACCCAGGTATATAAGAATAACGTGGAAATACACAACTAATATACCTTTCAATTCTTTTCTTGTTTTCCTCCATTTTTTGATTTGCTATATTTAATAGGAAGTCAATATACTCCTCTGTCACCATCAGTTTTCCCTTATGGCTTAACGGAACTTCTAAGCCATGTGTACTCCGGACAGCCTACAAAGAAAAAACAATATAGATATGAAGACATATACTAGAGACACTAAAGATAACTAAAGAAAAGGCCCACTCAGGACTGTGTTTGAACATAGTTTAGTTCCATTACAGCATTTAAGTTTGTGCTTTGATATAATTTAGCTGAACACATTTGAATCAAAAGAAATTAAATAGATTTTCCTAATATACACAGTCAATTCTAAAGAAAGGCATTCTACACATTGTCTTTCAGAGAAAGCAGAAGTTAATATCAAAGAATCGAATAACTTTTAATACTTTTAATCTCACTATAGCTTAGAAAGCTTTAATATACAATTTAAAGAAAAGAAATAAATGAAATTTCAACAGAAGTCTCAAGGACAAATACAAAGGGACTGGATGCTGAAGTCTCTTAGCACTGTTGAGTAGAATGTGGTTTTAAGAGTAAACTCTTTCACCTATACCACACAAAGTGGCTGCTTTCTCAATGCTTTAGGGTTGCCAATCTTAGTAACACTGATGATGAAGCGGCCAACATGTTCCAAGTTGATCCAAACACTGGATAGAGGTTAAGAACAACAACTCTGCAAAAACTGTTATGAGGAATCCAACTTCATTAAATGAACATTTACTGAGCATCTGCAATATTCTAGACACCCTGTAAGGTATGAAGATACAGGATGAATATAACATTGTCCTTGCCTTTAACACCTTACACTCTAGAACAGGAAATAAACAAGTGAACAAAAAATTACAAAACAACATAAGTGCTATGACAGAAGAAACACGCATGCATGTGTGTGCATATGTGCACACACACAATGCTAAGAAAATGTGGAAGAGAAGCAACTAATTGAGTCTCAGGACTCAGCTTTAAGGGAAAGGCAGCATTTGAGATGGGATTTTAAATGATTTCATCAGGCATAAAAATGGGGAGGGGATATTCTAGCCAGAGGAAAAACTTATCTGTAGGCATGGAGACATGAAAGAGCTCCATACATTTGGTAAATAACTAATAGATATGTATGGCTGGAACATAAGTATGCTAATGGGAGATGAACATAAATGGATGATACAAATTAGTTTGGGTAAGCCTTAAATATCAAAGAAAATATCTGGAGACCCTGAATTTTTAAAAGGGGATTCTGACAGTATTGGTTGGAGGAACTCGAGGTGGAAACCAGAAGGAAACTACTGTAAACACTGAGGTGAGGTAACAAGAGGGCTGAAATAGGGGCACTGGCAGAGGGCCTGGGATAGGATCAGGTGTGAGAAATGAAAGGCAGAAATGATAGAATCTGTAACTAATTGAATATGGAAGACAAAGGAGAAGAAGGTGAAAAAAAAAATGGCTCTGTTCTCAGTTGGGACAACAGATGCAGTGCTGGACATAAACTAGTACTGTGAGCTTTGATTTTCTATTTAGTCATGCTTTATAGGTTTCTTTTGTAAGCCACCTCAATTAGGGAAATAAGCCATTTGTTGAAAACAGACAGAAAATAGAAGAGTCTAGGGAGCTAGAAGAGAGAATAATATAAAATCGTTCAAAGACAAACAGTACATGCCATGTCAAATAGTGAACAACACAGGAGACCCGAATAGGGCAGAATAACTAGGGGTTGGCTTGGCTAAGAAAGGACTCAAAGCAACTGTAGGACTTATAAGGGGCCTTAAAGATCACCTAATCTAGGGCTCAGCACACTTATTCTGTAAAAAGACAGACAGTAAATATTTTTGCAGGCCACACAGTATCTGTCAAAACTACTCAACTTTGCCATTGTAGCACAAAAGCAACCTTTGCCAATAATTAATCAAATGGGTGTAGTGGGACCTGGCTCCCCATGGACTTGGCTCTAGGACAGTATTTTGCCGGACCCCTGATGTAGCTGAGAAAATTCAGACCCTGAGGGATTAAGGAGCTTTCCCAAGTTCGTATAGCATAGCTGTGTTCCTGCGGTATCAATATAGAAGACTTTATGCTGCCTGTCTGTGACTCCCTGCACTACATCATGATGCTTATTTAATTAGGCCTTGACTACTCAGGATGAGGAAGGC